ATCTCTACATTTTCTCAAAAGGATAGTGAAACCTTATACCAAGCATGGGAAAGGTTTAAAGAATTACAAAACTTGTGTCCACATCATGGGTATGAAACTTGGAGGTTGGTTAGTTATTTCTATGAGGGTTTAACTAGTAGGGAGCGTCAATTCATAGAGATGATATGTAACGGGGAATTTTTGCATAAGGACCCAGAAGAAGCCATAGATTATTTAAATGAGTTAGTTGAAAAAGCTCACACTTGGACAGGACCTAGTGCCACTGATAGTACTAGTAGGTCACGATCATCTGGGATTTACCACCTTAAGGAGGAAGATAACCTTAGAGCCCAATTAGAAGCTGCAACTAGGGAACTTGAGATGTTAAAAATGAAAAATAATAGAGTCACCCACACAGTTGCTAAGTTAGAAGCTCAGGCTCCATGTTTTGTTTGTGGGGGATTGGATCATTTAGCTCAAGATTGCCCAACTTATGGTGAGATGAGAGGGGTGTATGAAGAACAATGTAATGCATTAGGAATGGGTAGGGAACCTTTTCCACCCTATTCAGAGACATACAATCCTAGTTGGAGGAACCATCCCAATTTTAGTTGGAAGGCTAATCAAAACCATCCCACATCATCTAGCAATACTTGGAATAGTGAAGCTCAACCACTTAAGTCTTACCCTACACCTCAATATAATGCGCGACCAGATAAAAATCCTTTAGAGGAAACACTTAAGGCATTTATGGAGGCACAAAATAAGACTAACCAAAGATTTGATTCTATTCTTACGTAGTTGGTTGAAGAAAACAAGGATATCAAGAGTCAACTAACTAAGTTGACCAGTGCTCGTACTATCCAAGAACGAGGTAAGATTCCATCTCAACCTCAAGCTAATCCTAAAAATTTACATTTGGTGCAGGAATCTACCTCTAATTCCAAGAACATTCAAGGGGTCAATGCAATCACTACTCGTACTGGTAAGGTTATAGAGCCATTGCAAAAATCACCTAAATTGAAGGATGCTACTCCAAGGAGCCGTGAAGATGACCTGTTGGAAGAACCTGAGAAGGAGGTCCCAATTCGAGTTCCTTTCCCTCAAGCTCTTAAATCTGGAAAGATTTTAGACAACCAAGGTGAGATTTTAAAAAATTTGAAACAAGTTAAGATTAATCTACCTTTGTTGCATGTGATTAAATAGGTACCAACTTATGCCAAAGTGATCAAGGATCTATGCACCATAAAAAGGAAACAC